AATTGTTAATTAAATGATTATATGAAGCAAACATTTTCACACCCATATGTATGAAAACAGTTTTTTTTCCAAAATAAAAACTCTTATGTTGAAATTCAACCCATGCACATGCTAATTTTAAGAATGAAAATGTGTATTATTGTAGTTACATATTAATATAGTCTGTCTCACATTAAAATTAAATGGTAACAGAAACAAATCATTTTTATAACATATGTTCTTATTGTTTTAAACTTTCTTTAAAAAGTCCTCTTTAGAATTTGTTTTATAGCAGTTCCATTCTTCTTTTCTGCAATATTTAGTTATGTCAGCATCATTTTTCATGAATGGTATGTCCTGGATATGTTGTCTTCTCTCACTATTTGCCCACCTTCATTTTGGACTCATAGAACCCTCAAAGAGCATGGAAGAATACCATATGTACTCATATAAAAGTCGAATGTTTTAGACCATGTTTTAAGGTCAAATTTATGGGATTGACTATTACATGGATACTATTTTTGAGGGGCTAAAATTAAGCTAGAATCCAAAGTACTGATTCAATAGCAAAAGCCCAACTGATCTTTAAATGAATAAAAACAATGAATTACAATATTACTGATTCGGCACTCCTATAGAAAATGGATCCCCTAAGTTTTTTCTATAGGAAAACAAAATTAGAAAAAAATTTTTTATCTACATGAAAATAAAATAATTAAGTGATATATTTACAAGTAAAGATGCAGCTATTTGTTTTTTAATAACTTAGGGTATTCTTCTAATTTGGAAGCAATGTAGTAATTTATCATGCCAAGGGTATTAAAGTATGATTTTAAAAGTAGATTTAAATTCTAATCAGCTTCTATATTTCAGGTGTGATGGTAAAAGTGGCAAAAAAACACAGTCCATTTTCTGTAACAGTTTTTTTAAATATGAAACTGGAATTACATGAATTTTTATATTTAATTTTCATTTTTGTTTTCAATGAAAAAAATTCTGGCAAATTTTGACCACAAATGTTGATCTGTTGTCCATGAAATACTAGACTAGGTTGACTTCTACATGGGTTCTATTAAAAATTCCAGATTTTTAGGCCAAAAATAGGAAGTCGACTTTTACATGAGATTGACTATTACTCGATTATATATGGTAGCTTGTAGTGTGCAAGGAGCAGAAAGAGTTTAAAACAAAAAAAAAATTGTAAGTATTAGCCATATGCTCAGTATAGTTGAGATTGAAAGTACTACAGATTTATGCACTTGGTACACTCGTGTCAAAATTTTTATGAATTATAAGAAAAATTAGTCACTTAGTTTTGCCATAGACAATGTGGAACCTCAAAGTTTTAATGTAAAGTTAAATTTTGTATTTTAAATATTTTTTGGGGGGATATTACTATCATCATTTTTATATACACCTTGTATATAAAATGTCTGTGATCTGATGATGAATATATGAACTGATTTCTATAGAATCCTGAAATGCATTTCTCTATTAAATATCTCCTCAAATTTTCTATACTTAAATGAGTAAAATATTTTGCATCATAGATCTGAATTAAAATCTTAATATCAAAATAAAACTAGCATTAATGATGTACTGACTTTATAGAACAAACCTAATACAGAAATAATAATGAGATGATTTTGAAATTGAAATATGTGAGAGAGAATGAAACTAGTATTGATAACATTGATTCTAAGTAAATGCATAATCATACCTTAAATGTAATGAATCAAAAATAATGGAGGGGAAATAGTGAATTTGTATTTCCTAAGTGGAGGTAATTTTTTGTAGTAGAGTAACTGAATAGTCATTGTACAAATCATAGAAAGGACCCTATAGAAATGAGTCTCAGTGGATTTGGCTGAATTTTCATTTTGTAGTTCTGGTGTTCCTGATCAAAAGGTTCCAAAGTTCAAAGTAAAAAATAGTTTGTTATCAAGCATCCAAGATACAAAAACAGCATAACTTATACATGTTGTGAAGCCCTAAATCTTTGTTTTAAAATATAAAATGGCGTATCCCAACACAATTCCTTTCCAGCTATCTGCAGAGTAGGTCTCTTAAGAAAGTGTGTGCTTTGCTATGTAGCACATGGATGCCTATCTATTACTTTGGTATAAACCAAATGGCATGAGAATCAAACTCATGTATCACATAATGATTTCCACAAGAAAATCCAAATAACATGACAAACATCAATATTTTGAAAATATATTTTTTATTTTGAAACAAAAATGACTTAGGTCTTCAATATGTATGAATTACTGTTTTTTCGTCTTTGATGCTTAATAATTCAAACTTTTTTATCTGTGTCTATGGAAACTTTTGATCAGGTCCACTAGAACTACAATATATCAGATTCAGCTAAATCCACTGAGACCCATTTCCCATAAGGTGTGTGCAGGGTGCATCAGATGACTTATAGATGCAAATTTTCTTGTTTTATTTTATTGTTATTCAATTAATAAAATAATTGAGTACCTTTTTTAAAAACATATTAAATGTCAAGTGAAAATGGAGAGAACTTGGCATTGAAATTTAAAAATTATATGAAATGCCTGTGATATAAACAATGCTTGGATATATATTTTGAAAGTTCTTCTTTATGAAAAGCTGTAAATTAAATTGTTATAATCTTAATAGTAGTATTTTATATAGTTATATAAAATTATAAAATAAAATAAAATGTATGATTTAATGTGAAATAGTTTAATTTTCCAGCAATTTGGAAAATATTTTCCTCATAGAAAACATTTAAATTTTTTTAAAACTTTTTAATAATAATTTAGCTGCTGATTGTTTATTTTTGAGTATTAAATTTTTAAAGATCAATCTCTAGTACTCAAATTGAATACTAAGAATGAAATTAAAGAATGCAAAATTTCAAATCAATTTTTTATGTCCATTTTATTAGAATCAATTAATGTCTTCATATTTGATACTTCACCATTATTAGTGTGTTTGTTTTTTTTAATCAACAGAAATTGGCTGCTTAATTCATACAATATTAATATAGAAATGATATTTTTTTTGTTTTTTCATTTTTTATGAAGAATAAAAAATATATTTGTATAAAAATGCTTATAGAAACAAGAAAAACAATTTGATAAATTATTGAAAGTGAACTTAAATACAGTCAACCCCCCTATAACACGGGTTCCTATAGTTTGGATTCCTATATCACGGCAAAAAAATTGTGACAGTATTTGTACAAACATGCTAAAAAAACTCCTATAATTCGATAAAATGTCATTGCTGACTCGTGTCACGACAGGATTGGTCGAATCTAGACCAATAGCGGATATTGCACAAACCGTTGAGTTTAAACGAGCAGCGGACCTACCAAAAACCATTTATTATTTAACGTCCATAAAAATTATATTTATATTAATGATGTCTCTAAAGTTCAGCTAATTTTTCGCAAAGAAATAATTTATCAGGAAGTACGCGAGTGCCATTCGATGACAAGCTTTACGACGAAAACAAGCTTAAGCAATGGCGTAGTCAAATGGTGCACACTCGGTAGGTAATCCTACAATTTTTTGTTTATAGCATACTTTATATGGATTATTCCCAAAAAATTATACGTGTTTTGGAAATGTTGAGTCGAATTAGTCTAGAATCGATTTAATTTTATGGAAGAAAACCTTTCAAACAGCCGTAGTCTGTAAACTGCATACGTACCAGGCTGTGATTGGCTGGACTCATAGAAAATGGATTCATAAAATCCAGAACATATCTACAGTGTTATAGGGGGTTGACTGTACATAGATTCCCAAATTCTAACAAGTGTGGTGAGATTTTCTGAAAATAAAGCTTAAATAATTTTAAAAAATCGTTCACTGGCATACCCAGTGGTGGATTTATGGGGCAATGGGGGGTGATCACTCCCTTGAGCACTTCTATTAATAAAAATCATATACAAATAATTATTATTAAAATTTTGCATTGAAATGTAATTTTTGAAGTAAAAATGTTCATTACAGTGTGTGATTTTACAAGGATTAAAAATTTACTAAAATTTAATATATTTCTCTGCATCTTGCTCCTTTATTTGTAAATTATTAGTTAGGCCTGTAGAACAATATTAAATTTTTTCCCCTGTAAATTTTAATGGTTAAGCAATAAAATGTTTGACAAAATTTATCATTACATGTTATTTTAGGTTATATTAAATAAATAATTTATTAAAGCAACTGAAAATAAAAAAAGGTAAATTTGCCCCCTGGAAGATTTTATGAACCTTCCACTGGGCATACCACATACATCAGTTGACAAATCATATATAATTGCATACAATATTTGGCATTGTAGTAGACATTCTTAGCATTACAAGTATTGCATCTCTTACTGACCATTTATATTGAAATATTATTAACTATGAGACTTTTGATTTCTTGATAATGTGATCACTAGCACTATCAATTTGAATCTATTTGTCTTGAATTGGAGGAAAGAAATATTTCTTTTCTCCAATTAATTCAATTAGTAAGTAGTTGAATAATTAAGGTGATGAACTTGACAGCAAAAACTCAAGGTGAATCACATTCTTGTTTTTGCCTCCGTATTGAGTGGAAAGGAGTACCTATGCGTTTTCTGTGGGAGAGGGAGAAATATCTTTAGAACCTTTAGTTCTGAAATATTTAATGAAATTTAAATTTTAGTTTCCTTTACATAAAATAACAGATCTGTTTTTTTTTAAATTAATATTTATGTATTATATTAAAATTTAATAACAACTTAAGAATTACAAAAAATATATTTGTATTATTTGTAATTTGTTACATTAATTCAGTTAATTAAAAATTTTGATAGTTTCTTTTTTAACAGCTTTAGTAGCAACTCTGTTGGAAAATTTAAATGTTTGCATGTATTTATATTAATGGGAACATCTATTATGTTTTTTTTTAAGATATTAAAATTTTTTTTTTCTTCATTAAAATGTTAATCATAAATTTATGGTTTCTATAACTTCAAATTGTTTTGAATACAATATTGATATAATATGGGGACTATCTCTTGAACTAATTAACCTCTTATGAAATACTGTAACCTTTTTATTTTGCATATTTACATTAAATTGTGAGTTCACAAAATTCTCCAGGTTTATGAAGGAATTTATAAATGCTTTATCAAAGATTTTCCTACAGATGTTCTCTTAAATATTGGACTCTATCTGTTGCAAAGTGGTTTCAGTTCTGTTCTTAAAGTCCTTCACAGAAAAGTACAGCTCCTTCATATATGATTTCTTGTGTGGATATGATGTAAGGTTGGATAATGATGCAGTGGATATAGGGTTGTGGATCATTCAATAGATCAAAGTGTCCTGGACAATGTATGTCTGAAAAGTTTGCACCTGTTGACCATAGTGAGGAGGTGAACTACTTTGCTGAAAAATGTTCCTACTGCAGCAGTTAGAGAATAAGTACAACAACTCCAAGTCAAGATAAGTGTTTCCAGTCACTGTTGCCTCCCAGAAGGAAAAAAATGTGCTACAAATTGTCACACAGAAAACGTTCACTTTTGAATATACTGTGTTATTAAAGTGCTCTACCATGATACAAATAGGTTGTTTCCCAACGTTTGATATCCTGATGGTGTACCTTATCAGAGATTAAACATGTCTCATTACTAAAAATAGTTTTTAAAAATGTCACTTTTTTCCAGATAAGCCAGTAATAGCATCCACTGCAGACAAGGACACATTTTAATGATGATCTTGTTTGCAATGGATGGATTGTAGCAATTGCAATATATATTGCTCTGTTCAGCTCATGCAAAATTCTCTACACTATAGTCTGGAATAAGTTTAGATAAAGGCATACAGACAGATTTCTATGAACTCCTTTGGTAGGCTTGTCAAACTGTCTACAGTCTGTACAGCTACATTTGGAAGTCCTTACCCAAGCTGACATTGCATTATACAACTAGTCTTAGGAAATTGTTTGTTTGAACCATTCTGATTATTTTTGCATCTGGAAAGCATTACTAACATTTTATGCTGTGCTTTTGTCATTGACCCAGTTTTGTACAGATAAAAGCAGCATAAAGTACATTGATCTGAGAATGGTACCATTTTTTGAAATTACTTCCCATGACTGGATTGTAGAGGTATACATGAACATTTGAATGGTTTTTATCAAAAATTCTTTATCTTTGATAATGAATTATTAATATTATTGATTTCTTTTGAAAAGATATTGCAGATATCTATATAATAATGAACTTCTCTTAAATTTCTTTTAACAATCTTTTGACACATTAAAGTGTCACGATAGAAAAGCATAAAATATCACACTGGGCCAAGCAGTTTTTACTGGTCTAAGTACAATTTTCATTTCCACAGACTATGCTCTATTTCCATTACATTTATATGGCTAGTGTATTGCTCCAAAGTAACAGTACAGAATTTAATGTATAGTGTTTCATTTCTGCAACATAGCCTGGGTAACTTGCTGGGTGTATTGTATATTTGCAATGCATGTTATGAAAATAAACATATTTCATAATTCCTTAAAATGCAGTTATAGCTAAAGATTAAAAGGAAATACATAATTAAGATGTAAATTTGTATTAGGGATGCTATTGAATCCCATTAAAATATCTTCTAGTCTATTCATAATTTCTCTGAAATGACTTAACAAAAATTAATGAAAAACACTAGATAGATTTATTAATGATTTGAAATAATTTTGGCCTCATTGGTGGTTTTATTGTTAATAGTAAAATTTGGAAAATTATTAATAAAATTAATTTTTTTAGAAAATACTGAAAAGGAAAAGCTTGAAAGAATTTGAAACCTTAATTCTAAAATAACAGGCAAGTTAAATTTTACTGGTTATACCATCAAAACACTACTGAACTGATACATTATTAATTTTTCAAAATTATCTTTGTTTGTTTATTTAAATAATTCAAGTTCTTTGAATATGAAACATATGTTAATACTGCAATTTTATTTATATTTAAGAGAATTTGTAATATAAACATTTTAATATTACTCATATCTTGATTAAATTTGCTGGGTTTTAATTATAAATAAAATTTAAATTTGTTTATAATAATTTAATTTTTATCATATTTATAATTCTTTTTGAATTGTTTTACTGATTTTAGAAGTAATAACGAAGTAAATTCTGTGCAATATTTTACTATTAATAACTAACAAATATATGAGAGAAATTTAAAATTCAAAGAGTATATTCAACGAATTTCAAACTGAGTTTCAGTCTCATTCAAGGAATTTATACTTTGACATTTTCAGTAAAGAAGTTAGAAATCTTCAATCTGAAAGGACACTTTCAGATTGAAGATTTTATTAAAATTAAGAGCCGTTTCAACAATAAAACTCTAAGGACTATACTAGACACAATGGACAAAATTCAACTTAGGCCATAAACCACCAATAAACTTGTATATCATCTTAGAGTTCCACATATAACAAAGATTTATATTTATGACTTATTAAAAGAACAAAGGGCTAACTGATACATGACTGGCTAGTCTTGGAACTCTTTGGCCTACCTTGTACCAACCCCAAAACCAACCAAACTAAGAGCTGTTTGTTACACATTACATCATATTTTTCAAAATAATTAATATTTTTGCTATTACATTACATTATGTAAATATGAATTTCAGGACAATTGTCTGAAGAACAAACTTTTATTAAATTGACCTAACAGGAAATAATAACAAGTATATTAAAATGATATTGTTAAAGTTTAGCTTCATATTTTAACAATCTAAATTGTTTGGCATGCTTTATTATTCAAATCTGGTGCTTGAGTCTTGTACAAATGCATGAAGTATGTTTCATACTATTGCTCACTGAATAGTGGATTTGATATTGCATCTAATGCAGACATTTACAAGGAGAGCCTGTAGGCAATTGCACTTTGAGATTTACTCTTATTCTTTGCTTTTTATTTCTAATAATAAAAACATTTTACAAAATCTGTTTTTTTGCTTTATATTTTAATAGTTATGCTGAAGTAACTCCCTTCTGTTTATTAATGTCATGCTTGTGGTCCTTCTAGTTCTCCTTTAAGCCATATGCAGATGGATTATTTGGAAGACCATGTTTTTTTAACTGTGTATATTGCACTATTTTCATGAAGAAAATGATTAGGAACAAATCTGTTTAAAGAATATAATTTTAGTGGATCTATTTTGATTTAATTGATCTAAATCACACATGGTTAGGACCCAAGACAAAATTCTGCAGGTGCCCTTGATTTAATATTTTCTAATTAGAAACTTCATATTTCTTATTAACTAGATATATCAATAGATTAGAACATGTTTGGCATTAGAAATGCATTATTTTTTTCTTTTATATTCAAAATTTTCTTTATAAAAATTATTTTATTTTTGATTTTTATTAAGAAATTTAAAAATCTGAAAATTCATAGACTTCAGAGGGCTTTAGTTTAGTTTATTTTTCTAATCTAATCTAATTTTAAAGATGATGATATACTAGCCACTGTCTGTGATAACTTACTGAACTAATTACTACACTTTTAACAATGGAATTTTAGAAGAATACTAGCATTTTTGACCTGGTTATCTGATCATCCTCAGGCATCAAAGCCAAATGTCACTGTTCAATCATGTCAGACTTTATGAACAAGCGCTTTCCATTTTTTGTGATCCATTTCAGTTTTGCTTTGATAATTAATCCAGTATTCCATTTGGAAGTGGGCTTTTTTTATTGGACAATTCCTCTAATCATATGAGCATAATAATTCTTTCTAGTGAATTTGACTGTATGATGTGACCAAAATAAGTTTGTTTTAGTTTTGGATCTTAGTTTCCATTGATGTCCTGACATGATCCAGAAATTGTTTACTATTGCCATACAAGGTATGCATGATTGTGGAATATTGTAATTAGATAGAAAAACCATACTCTTTCAAATTTTTAAAATTAACTTCACAGCCTGTAAATAGTAGCAGGAAGACAGTAGTGTTGACTGTTCTGCATTTGGTACTGATAGATTGTTTTTCCAGATCATCTCTAATCTGATCATTGCAGTTTGCCTGAGTAGGATTCTGCATTTAATTTTAGACCAATATGCTCAGTTTGTTTGATTTTAGATCCTAGAAAATAGTTTTGTACAGATTCAGTTTCTTTATTTTTTATAATGGCTAGTAATGGTAATATTTATTATTTTGGTGTCTTTAATGGTTGTAGTCCTGTTATCTAAGTTCTAGCTTTGACTTTTTGGATAATAATTTTAAGTTTCTTGTTTTCTGCCAATAATGATGTTATCTACATATCTTGTTGATGACTAAACAGAGAACTCAGTTTTTTGGTATTAAATAAATATTTTTAATAAGTTTTCAATACTTTGAAATATCATTTTCAAATGATATTTTAATATCTAGAAAATTGACACACGTTTCACTTGAAATACTTCAATTTTGAGAAGCTATAAGTCACTCTAATAAATTTAAAAGAACTATAAAGAATAAAAAGAATAAAGAACTATTTTATTACATACTTCTGTAATTTGGTTTAAAACTTTTAAAAATTTGATTTTCTTTCTGCTCACTCTGCTCAAATTGTTTTAACTAGTATGGCTTAAGACAAAGGAGGAAACATTGTTAATTAACTTCCTCTTGGGTAATTTGAAACACTTAGTACCTTTTTATAAAGTTAGAATAGGAATATTGTAAAGAAACTGTAAAAAAATTGAACAAAACATTAGAATTTTAATCCTGAAAAACTCTTCAATTACAGATAATTTCCTAGTAAATTTTTACAGAATTATTTAAACCATATTAAGTAAAAACAATAGACTTTTTTCATTGGTTTCTCTACTATCAAGAGTGCCCAAATCAGGCAATCAAGTTTCAATGGATGAAGATATTTTGCTTTTTCAATTGATGCTGCACCTTCATCTACCATACTTTTTCCAACATTTGTGGAGATGCATTTTTTTTTTTTACTCTTATTATTGCTTCTAACTTTTCCACATCATAATTTGCAATATTTTCTGCTCCCTACTTTTTGTTTATATTTTCTCATAGTGGTCTGCAAAAAAATGAAACTTTATTTTGTATCTAAATTCAAATTAACTACAGAAATTGCCAATGACTTCCAATCAGGCAGATGGGCTGTCAGGAAGTCAGAAAATTTCCAGAGGTGCTGTAGTGCTAGTTTGACTGGTGCCTTCCTATTCATAGATGCTGGTGCTTGCCGATATATTCTTATGCTGCTTGAATAAATCCCATCTGCCCATGCTTTTAATAATATTTTGAGTCATTGTTTGAATTTAAATGTTTATGTATTTTCTCTTGTCATTTTGGATAGGATTAAACTAAACTAAAAATGATCAGATGTATAAAGAGTGATGATATTAGCCTGTCAAATTTCAATACTTTAGCAACAGTATGCTTAGATGTACAGAAAACATTTCGGTTTCTATATTTCAAAAGTAATTTTCAACAATATAAAAATGATTAAATACATAACTATAATTCTAAAATTTAAAAAAGAATTAAAAATAATGTTAAAAATTTAATAATTTAATTTTTAAGAAGTTGGACAGTGGAGGTTGTAAGTTTTTAATTTTTTTAAAAATTTTAGAATTATAGTTATACATTTTTAATCCATTTTTAAATAAGTAATGATCCCATTGTATAATTTAAGTTTGTATTTTAAATATAAAAATGATCCAAATTTCAACAATAATGTATTAATGAAGTCTCTTTTGCGTAAGCAGTAGTGACTTTACCCCATAAGTTGTGTTGAAAAACAGTGCTGCTACAAATGGGGGGAAAAATACATCTTGTCTCAAGTCACTTGAAATAACAGTAATTTTACTGAGATTTTAAAAAATAGTATTAGGATTTAAATTTCAAAATTTATTATTTAAAAATTTTCTTAATTGTATTTATTTTTTTAAAATAATTTTTACATTTGTACAAAACTTTTAAAAATTTGATTTTCTTTCTGCTCANATAGTATTATTACAAAGAATTTTTGGAACGAAAGTTAGACTAGATTGTTTGAAACACTGTCCATTTGTGATACAGATGTCATATAGTGTGTTATAAGATAGTACAAATATTTCAATGTATAAATCTATTTCTAGGTCCATATATGCTAGGAATAACTGTGTAGTAGTCAAAAATAAACTGAAATTTTGATGTTATCTAGAAATAGCTGTAATTGCAAGCACATACATGTTCAAACATTTTTTAGACATGTCAATACTTATTTGACATAGGTAGATGTCTATATTTGGATGGATTTGAACAGTAGTTATCAAATTTATTGATCTGCAAGCCAGTTAAACTGAATCGCAGATAAATTGTGGACCACATGTTCCTGTCCATTTCTTATACTACAAATATCATTATCTATAATGAGTGCCAAAATATTTTGTCTATCTAGTAGCCTAACATAAGAAATGGATGATAAATGTTGTTTTCTCTGTTTGCCTTATCTCTGTTTTTGGGAGCAACATTGCTATTCTTAGTATGGGAAAGTTGAAAAGTTTATTGAGCAAAAGATAAGATTTGTTAAGTGTAGATTGAATTTTGTCAAAATTAAAGTCTGAGATCATGGTCCATACTGGGAGATAATAATCTGATAGACTGAATATTGGTGAGAAAGAAAGAATATAGTTTTTCAAGTAGGAAATTGATTTGCAATTGTGCTTAAGCACCCTTCTCCTGATTGAGAAAGTTTCTTTAAGTAGATGCTGAAGTAGATGTGACTGTTAAAACTGAGTTTTAAATCAAAGATGATGCCTAAATCATTAAAAGTATCTAAATAGAAAAGTTGTTGGCCAGAAATGTAAAAGTTAG